TCTTCCGATGTTACAATATCATCGTAAGCCGGGCACAGGAGAGGAGGGGGAGGAAAAAAAAAAGTTTATCGAAACTTAATTTAAGCCGTTAACGAAATCGATTATCGTTAATCAAATCCTTTTCACATCCATCCGTATATCACAACAAGAGCCATAACGTCCAAAGTGACGTCGTTAGTCCAAGTTAGTAAACCATCGCTATCGGCGCAACTCGGCGACCCGGAGACCTCTCGGCAAACTCTAACCGTCGTGCCAGCAACGATCCGTTAGCTCGCAACGCTATCCTATCCGCCCTTCTTCCTCTTCTTTCCGAGCCGAGTTTTCCCCGCTCGGAATTTCCAGCGCGTATCGATCGAGCACGCATTATCGCTTACTAAACGAACCGAAATCCCCGACCGGTGCAACGACGACGACGACGACGACGTGTCATCCGCGCCGGGGAGCGGCACCGTTGCTGCCCGCATCGCTTGCTCCTCCTCGTCATCGCCCCGTTCAACGAGGGCACCGGAGCGATATAATCTTTCTTTCCCTCTTTCTATCTCTGTCTCGTGCTACACTGCTCACGAGCTCAGCCACTAACGATTATACATCAGCGTGAAATCTTAGAAACCATGGCTCCTCGGCGCTCGGGTGAGCCCGCGCTCGCCTATGTCGCGCGCCCATCCGCGCGAAATCCACCACCGACGTCGGCGACGACCACCGGGGGACGATCTAGAGTATACAGCAAGAAGCCGAGCAGCAACTACTTCCACCGCCTTTACTTTTTTGTCTCTGATCTGAAACAGAAACGCACACGTGCGATTCAATCGCGTGCCCCTTTTTTTTGGCGCGGGGGGGGGGGGGTCTCCCGTTGATTCAGCATCGCGAGATACATAGAGGAGTGTGCATATATAATACTGTACAGGTGTGAAAGTGTGAAAAATATCTAATGTCTTCGCAAAATAACTGTTTCGACGACTAAAATGAGGAATATGGTTACAGGCTAAATGGGATCTTGAGAAAGCGTGTCATGCTTTCGAAGAAATTTAATAATTTTTGCATAATTTAGAATAATTATATGCACGTATGCATATAATTTTGATGAAATAAAATTGACAATAAAATCATACAATGGCATTTTTCGATCTTTTTCCAATTTTATTTATTTTTAGATTAAAACTTTCATTTTGTATATTTTTTATACTTTTATTTTTTGGTACAACGCACGCGAGATATATTTTATATATATAATTTTTTTTCATAGAATTTAATTGATTTAGTTTCATTTCAAAGAAATAAATATACCAAGTATTCTTTATTTTTTATTGCGATATTCTTATAAAGAAAACATTTGTTTTCTAGTCTTCTACAGTAATATAAATTATATAGCATACAATATTATTAAATATAAGATATAAGATATCTCGAAATCTCTTTTGCGTGAAAAGAATATTGGGGTCTATATTCCACTTACAATTAGTCATAAATGATATCTTTCTGTTGGATCCCATTTATCTGTCACATCATGCGGTGTTATTGAATCTTTTTTTTTTTTTTTTTTTAAGCGATAAAGTATGTGTGTACGTTATTTTTTTCGTTCTATTTATTCACTGTTATGGAAACGCGTGCAATGGGGTTGGAATTTGTGGCAGTAAGCGATAAGGATTAGGAAGACTCACACGTTGGATTAAGGATTAGAACGTATCGTATGGTTGAAGTCATAGTTTTCGGGATCATCGGGCATGATATACATAAACTCACCGTTAGGTAGAATACCTAAAAAAGAGATCAAAAATAAGAATAAGTCAATACTTGATTATTAATCGATGTAATTGAATACGCATTTATAACACGTATCGATATCTTGAATCCAGAATGACCAATGTTAAAATATAAATACAATAAAAAACTTAGATTTAAATATAACGATACAAAGAGTTTGTTCAGATGTGTAAGATATTTTGTCTGAAATACATAATAACATCGTTTTAAATTAAAGATAATAAATTCGACATAAACAGGAAGCGATTATCAGTTATATTAATCAATATGTATAAATACAAATATTATTTAAAATATCTGCTAAATTATTTTTATGTTGTTTAATCAAATAATAACAATTTAATAAACCCATAAATATTTGAGAAAAACAAAGTAGAGGAGGTTTAACTTTTCACTCATCTTTAACCATTTCTTTATCCGGAAACAAATATGCATTTTTTCTTCGATTTTCGTGTTGCAGTTTACACTACTGATGCACAAATGAAAAGGCCAATTTAGAAAGGAGGAAACCTCCTCCGTGTTGTGAAGTAACGGCGTGTTGTTGGGAAGTTGCACAATGCATCGCTCCTCGACGATTATCTTCTCCGTCGATCAAAGCTGATTATTAACTACCTGACCATGTTTTATCCGTCGCACTTGCCCTCACATCGATTAATAATTAGCAGTAAGCGAGTCGCATGCGATAAAGTTGATATCGCAGCATAAAAAGAAGAACAAAAATGAAAAATAAACTGTTGGAGATTTCTATCAATTTAACATATAATTGTCGAATCGTCATTAAATTAGATTCATCGGAAAAGCTCGCGTAAACGGAAGTACGTGTGCCGGAAACGACAGAGAAGTTGCAAAGGGAATGCAAAGAGTTTGCGAAATGTGCATTTTACGCAAGATTACATAGAATGCACGAAGGATAATGACAATGTTGCGCAATGAGAAATTACTTGTTGACGATCACCGAACAATCATTTACGCGACGAATGATTCTGCGAGTAGATATCTGAACTTTCATTGATAACCGATTGCACAGTGACCTGTGTTAAATCGATAAAGATGCATACGTAATGCGAATCCTGTTGCCTAACTTATCAATGCACTTGTGCCGCGTTAGAGTCGATCTTACTTAGCGAAAATGTCGAAAATGTTTTTCTAATTACAAATCGTCAAGAAGTCTTTTCCAAATTATAAAATAAGTTAGATTTATATTAATTTAAAGTAATTTTTATTTTAAGATATAGAATTTTCTAATCTATTTTTCAACTCGATGTTTTAATTTAGCATAATTTTTTGAAACGTTTCTATTTTTCGTAAAAGCTTGAAATCTTGAAATTACGAAAGAAAAAATAATAATATTTTCAATATCTCTGCCAAAAAAAAAAAAAAAAAAAATTTCTGTCGAAAAACTCCTATGTTCTTAAAATATCCGTGCGTTCTTGAGCGTCCTGTATAAACTGCCGTCAAATAGCAGCTAAATACAGCTAATCGATGTAATTCCATTATAATGAATACCGATGGAACGCGACATTTTCGCTGTAACGAAGTGTGATTGAATCTCCGCGTCTAATACGCGGCTTGATATAACGAACTTTCGGTATAACAAATTCAATTTCGAGATCCACGGCGGCAGCTCGTTGTAACGAGATTTTACCGTAATAATTACGCAAGCGCGTCACGTACCGATGTGTGATAGATTCAGTTTAGACCGACGAGTAAACAAATTTAAAGAACGATAACGAGTACAGATTTAACATGATATTAATAAAAGTGCGGCAGAGTATGCGCAAAGTGTTTTTATACAGGTTGCGGGGAATTAACCCTTAGCCGAGTAAATTCTTTTCCTCTAGAGAGAAAAGCTATGTTATATAAAAATTTTATGCACGTGTGTGCACAACATACACACACACACCCATGTATTTTTTTATATAATTGAAAATTATAATAATTAAAAAAAGGATGTTATGAAGACAGAAATTTATTTTAGGAAACAATGTGTTAATTTATTTTAATTAACATATTTTCTTTACACTAGTTTTTTTTTTATTTACTTAATTATACAAAATAATTTTTACATGTTCTCACGTTTTTTTTAAATTAACTTGTAATTATGATAACATTTTTAACAATTTTTTTAACCAAATAATTAAATTTTATATCTGGTTTAATGAACATTTATGTTTCACGGATAAACGTTAATAACGTAAAAAAAAAAAAAGAGATTTTTCTGTGGTTCAATTTTAGGTTCGCGATGGTGGTTTTGTAATTAATTTAGTGATTATGATTTTGTGTGTGTGCGGTGGTTTATTTTGAAAGAAGCTAGGAAATAAAATTACGTGTACGTCTGTTTACGCGACGAAGTCTTTAAGAAGCGCGGGGGGAGGGATAGGAAGGGAAGCTCGCGATGTAAAAAGTTTCATAAGTCTTTGTGTGTGCGTACGGAGGAGGGGAAGATAAGAGGATCGTATCTCGCGAACTCACCTTGAGAATTAGGCTCCGGAAGATTTTCCCGCGGCACCAGATGCATCACCGTGGTTTTTCCGAAGGGAAGCCCAAGAGCACCGAGCGTGACATTGCTGTGCAGGAAACGACCCTGGTAGATTAGCCGCAGGATCTCCGCCTTGGCGACCGCCTCCTCTGCCCAGTCTGCAACACGAAGGTAACATTTGCGAGATGTTGAGAGCTCTCTCTCTCTCTCTCTCTCTCTCTCTCTCGTCCGCTCAATTCAACTGTTCGCGAAAAGTTTCCGAGTGTACCGAACCTCTTGAATCTTAAAAAAGCGGCGTAGCAAACGTATTTGTGTGTTGATATAAATTATAAAATACGAGACGAGGAAAATACGAACGTTCTATTATAAATCGAGTGAATTTTTCTACTTACTGTGTATGTTCATACAATTCCATAACGTATAAATTCGTAATTTTTATGTATCAATTTATTATATTAAAATGAAAAAATACTCTCCATATTACTCAAATTTCTAATATTTTAAATATATTATAAAATTACGGGACATTCGCTTATTAATTGCACAGTAATATTTTTAATGTCTAATACACGGAATTTTCTTGACTTTTTATTTTTCTTCTCAGATGTCTGATTTTTCTAATTTCAAAAATTCTTGGGTCTAGAGAGACTCTAATGAATGTCTCTTGAATGTTGGATGTGTTTCACAAATAATTTTGCAACTCTATTCTCGTGACATGATGGCATATCGGTAATTAATGGTAATAATTGCGGATAGATCACACGGGAGATCCCGCTCCTATAGCAATTATATCAACGCTAATGGAATGGATTGGTGCAAGCAAAGTTTCGACACGATAATGACTAACTCACCATCCGGCCAATTTTCAAACACATGGTGTGCTATATCGCCCGCAGAATCGCTCGGACTGAATAGGAACTCTTTTGTCTTGCCACTGACGAGGATGAGGCGTAAATTTATCTGCAATGCATAAAAAACATCATAGTTAGAAAGATATCAATTATGCAAATAGAAAAGATTTTTGTCTCTTTTTATCGTTACGAAATTGAAGAGTTTAAATCTCAGATTTGTGATTGGTCATGTAAATTTTTTATAGAAATTAATTTGCACGCCAATTACATCATTCTATACGCATGTTTTATTTAAAAAATATATTTTTATTTCTTATAATATATATTTCTTATATATTATATTTATATTGGAGAATTTAAATCTATGTTCCAAGATTTAACTTTTTCAGTTGTCAATTTTTACGCCAAAAAAGATTTTTATATATTATACATCTGCATACAAACAGAAATTTATAAACGACGTGATTTTTTATTATAATAATGTACATGTGATATATACTTTCTTCCGATATTATAAGCATTATTCTTCTTCTTTAAAATATATTGTAAATTGCAGTAAAATTGATGGCTATTACAATGGACGCCAGGAGCTGAAACGAGCGTTCATCGACAGCACAATCAGCGTGCACTTCGTGCATCGGGGAAATTACCGGGGACAGTCGACTCCTCCCACATACGAACACGAATTCAATTAACGTAGGGTGCGAAGATCGGGCAACATAAATAATTAGCAGCTCGGCGGCGACGATTACGACGAGGCTGGACCGGAGGGCCCCGACCGACCGACCGTTCGTGACCCTTTGCGGTCTTCGTGGTCGCGACAATCTGCTGTTAAAGCGTTAAATCATCGTCCTCGCTCGCATTATCACCCGGTGCACCGCACGCGAGAGACTCCCCCTTGGCATTGCGGGAATTTTCGCGCCACGGGAGGAAGGGAGAAGCTGGAGGGCACGTTTTGTAAAGTGTATGACGTGGAAACAATACGGATGAGAGCGATATAATTAAGATATAACGAGGGCATCGCGAAATATCTACATATGTATGTTGCCTAATTTAAGTATGACGTGGAATAATACGGACGAGAGCGATATAATTAAGATATAACGAGGGCATCGCGAAATATCTACATATGTATGTTGCCTAATTTAATACACAATTTTTCCGTGGGTACTTCATAGGTTTGCGAACACCGGGCAAAAATCGATCGCAGGAGGAGAATAGAATTACGCATGCCGATACGTTTTTTTATTTTTCGTCGCGTTCTGTAATAGAGATCGTGTACGGAAAAAGTTGCGAACGAAAGTTTGAGAAATTCCAATATTTTTCTCCGAAAAGATATCGTTCGATGAAACTCAACATTATTGTACAAAGTTTTTCATGATTCTTTATAATTATCGACTTTTGTATCGGAAAGAGAATTTTTTCTTTGTCGTTTGTTTCAGATTACGCGCATGTATTGTTTCACTAAACATGATTTCTCATTTCTCTCTCATTCATAAAATTATTTTTTTAGAAAATTATTCTCGCGACTGTGAATAGAGAATGACCTGACGTAAAAAAGCTGTAAATTCCACACTTTCACAAGATTATTCTTTGTTGAAAGAGTTTTATATGCCAAGGCCAATAGCGTTGTGTAAAATTCTACACGTGTGTGCCATTTATAAAAACGTTTACGAGATATACCAAAAATGTAAGAAACATTTTTTTCCATGTACATTTTTTTTATATAAAAATAATGGAAATGTTTTTCAAATAAATAATATATTGTTCAAAAACAATTAAATAAGAATAAAGACGATAAGTAGAAAAAAAAAAAATTGTGCAACGCGTGGCAATACGCTTTATAAAGCACGTCTCAAGACTTAATCTCGCCCCGTCATCTTATAATATGTCGATAACGAGATATCGGTTTTCTGGAGCAACGGCAACTAAGGTGACTATTCTGAGCTCCATTCAAGTGCAAATTGCCGCAAGTTTATTCGCACGCCAAATCACGCTTTTTATCGATCGATCGGTCGAAAGGGCGCGACCGACCGTTCTGACAATTCGTTCATTAGCGTCCAAAGACAGAGAGAGAGAGAGAGAGAGAGACAGAGAGACAGAGAGACAAAAAGGAAAAGACAGGGAGAGGGAGGTACTCTTGTTCTGTCCTTGATTTAGACTCATTTTAGACTCATCGTGCACAGAGGAAGTGGTCCTCTCACTGCTACGTGTAACAAGCTCCAAATCCTTCAAATCCGCATGCGCGAATTCATGAAAGTCGCGAGAGGGGTTTCCGCCGACGTACGATCGCTCGTTTGAACTTTAAAGTTACTTATTCGTGTGCTGGTACCAGCCAATTATTCGATTCATGTGTTCGGATCTGCCTCTTTTTCTGATCCCTCGCGCCAAAAAATCCGTTGCTTTTGAGCGAGGATATTTATTTTATTTTATTTTATATTTATTCTTCATTGGTAGCTTCATTATTTTGCTTTGAAATATAATTTAAAAAGAAAAAAAGAAAAATTAGACTATTCAACTGTGAAAGTTAATGGAATAATTAATTAAAAGTACGAATAAAAGTCTCATTTTTCTAAACAGAGGACGATTTCGAAATGTCATGAAAGTGAAGTCGTCGTAGTTAAATATATTCCTAATGGGTCACTCTATATAACGGGCACAGTTTCTAGCTCATCCGCGCAGGTACCATCACCTGAATATCTAGCGATGTGGATCTAACGATGTCATCACTCTGCCCATGTCGAATATTTCGTTTTATTCGTCACGCGCGGCCTGATCGAACTTTCGCTGCTTTCACCGCGCGGAAAAAGCGCAACGAGCAGATCTCATTTATAAAAAAAGAAAGGAACACCACGAGTCTTGTCCCTACACTTCGTGCAAACAGCATTCCAATATGGGCATTGCTTGAAAAATAAAATGCTGATATTTTAATTAATTAAAAGATGGAGGACGAGCAGTAATTCGTGTCACACGCAACTGTGTACATAAAAATTTTATAATAATTAGTATAAATCAAGACCGCGATGTATCTTGTCAAACTTTCCGTTTCTCCTGATAACACGTTTTACGAATCATATAATTAATATTAATGAAAGACGATTCAATTCTAAATATGTGTGTTCAATGTTTTCGACAAGTTTTATACTTATAGCTTGAGAATTTAATGAACAATCGATGAACTTAATTATCAATCAATGAAGAATAGCGTTGAAATATACTTGATTACTGTTAGTGTTTATATTATGTAAATATTTAGAGAGTATTATTCTGCTGATATTATTATTTTTAATAATATTGTATATCATTTTCTTTTTCTCTATATTATATTTATTGTATGAACTGCAACATTATTTTTATAGATAGCAGACAAAAAGCTCTCTTTATTCAAGTCTACAAGGTAAGAACGTTGAGAATCGTGTTTACTGTAAAAAAATCGGGATAAATCTTTGAACGAATGTCGGTTAGCGGATAATCGTTTTAAAGCCTACGCGTTTTAAAGTTCGACATGCAATTTCGCGCGATGAGTTTCACTAACTTATAATCTTAAAATAGTGGAATCGCCTTAAATTAACCCGGCGGATAATAGGCGGAGCTCTATCGGCCGCCAAGTTGCACGTGGACTTGGAAAGTATAATGAACGTCCCACTGCCTTTCTAATGAAACGGATAAATGGATTAAAGAGCTAACGCGATTTAAAACAGAATGGTAGGCCCCGACGCAATTTCTTTTCTCCGTCGTTGAAATCTCAAATTGTTCCAGCCTTGAATTTAAATAACGCTTTATATAGCACAATTTCTTATTTTTTAAATTATATATATAATATTTCAATTTAAAAATAATGTATACATGTAATTAAATAAACTTTCGTTCTTTATTCCCATCCCTGAAAAAACTTGATTCTTCTTTAGAATCTCCGATCTTTTATTATTTATAATTGAACGAAATGGCCACAGTTTCCGTCGAAAAGACACGAACATTATTAAATTCGTCAAAAATATATTCGCAAGGTTTGATGTGACTCATTTTACAAAATCATCCTGCATTATACGTATACAATTTTCGCAGACTGTTGATAATGTGTTAATGGACGCGAGGATCGGTAAACGTCGAGCGATACGATACCGTTACGCTCTGCGGAAGCTTTATGGGCATTATGGGACGTAATGAAAAGGGAAGACAAAGCGAGGGTGGAAAAAGAGAAAGAGAGAGGGAGAGAAAGCGGGAGAAGAGAAAGAGCGGAATTGGGCTAATCGCGAATGTGTGTTCGTGCGATGGGTTTACCTTGATTTTGCGAGCGCAAACGCGAAGCGGCTCCGGCTCGCGTCACGAGGCGAGGTCACGCCGAAACCGGACAACCAGGTCATTGGGGCATTCGGATACCCGAGGACCGCGACTGGAACTATGCGCATACGTATGTAGAGTGACCCACATCTCTACGCGCGGCCGCGTCCTTCGCCCGCAGCACGTATCGAAGGACTTAAAGTTTTGACGCAAACACGTAATAACGAAAGCGCGCGCGCGCGGATCTTCTCGATCCAGATACAGCAGGATGCAGAGGCGCTTTTTCCTCAAGGTCCTTTCGCGAGGCGACTCTTCGTCGTTTATCGGGTACAAAGTTAGACTTAGGGATAGCGCAATACAATTTTTTTTTTTTTTTTTTATGTGCAAGTTTTACATAAAAAAGAAAATATTTTACTAAATAAATAAGTAATTTTGTAACATATTTTTTCCGTCTCTTTGGTATAAATTATTTCCAAAGGGTGAGATATGCGCAGATACTTTTGTTCTTTTCACTGTATCTAAAATAAATTTTATTACAAATACTTAGCGCAACAATAAGATAACGATATATGTACATGTCAAGTAAAATTAAAGGATGGCAATTTAATAAAATAAAATCACCCACGAATATTTAGTAATTAATTAATTAAGATAAAAATGCAAAGTATTAGGTCACTTAAATTTTGTCAAAGAAACTCTTTCCTCTGACGTTGTCTGAAAAATTGAATAAGATTCCTTGCATATGATAAAAAAAAAAAAAAAATGTTTATCGCTCAAAAGGATACAAGACCCTGAGTCCGAGAAACGCGTTCGATCTGGATGTATTTT